GAAAGAGAGAAATCACCCCCCAGGGGGATGGCCACACCACAATTTCTTCTCCTCCATTCTCCTCTCGGGATTTTGAGCACGCACGCACGTGTGCCCAGTGTGAATTTTAAGCTGCTGGGTCTGAGACTTGAACTGTGTTGACTACATGGGAGTCTAGGGACATAATCATTACACCATCTGCTGGTCCCAAGAGTATATTTCTAAAAGGATAATATCATGACTTTTAGATATCAAATAAAAACATATTAAAATTTTATTTAATTCATGAATTAAAAAGGGAGAGGTCAAAGACACATTTATATGGAGTAGAGGAATGCTGACATTAATTTACACATGAACACAAAACTGACTTTATCCATGGGAGATGGGTGGGGAGCGGCATGAGGTGGACTCTATAAACCTCCATCAGACAGAATTTATTTGCATGTATGTAGACAGGAATGATTTGCATTGCTAACAGTTACCTACACTTTATAGGGTTGTAAAATAGTTCTAAGACAAGGAAAGGTACAAATTCCAGAGACAGCCTGGAAAGGTGTTCTGTAAACAACACATCATTTTCACTGGAGACACACAGAGATTTTTTAAACTTATTCTGAAGGCTTAACTTTTCCCTGCACCAATCATTTCCAAGGTAATTGCTCAATGTGGAAGAAATAAAAGGGAAACAGACACTTTTTTTTTCAGAAAGAGATTTTTAAAGGTAAGCTTAAAAACACATACACAAGAAAGATATTAAAGGAGGTTCTAACGATCTGATCTGGGAATAGGATCTATCACCGGGAAGCAGCATTTGTTCACACTGTTAGGAGAGAAGGAATCCTCCGTCACTGATTCAGACAGTTCCCCTTACTGACCAGTAGGTGGTGGTGCTGAGCAGGCGTCACGACCTGTGGCCCCAGGGGCAACGTCTAATATGTCAGTAGAATAATGTTCAAAAATGGTTAAGTTCCGTGGTGACGTTTTCACCCCTGCACCTATTCCACAGCCTGGCACATGGTAAGCACTCAATATCACGTTTTTGAAATCAAATTTTCAGAATGCAGGAAATGGTTTTTACACTGTAACAAAAACAAAACAAAACAAAAAACAGAACAAAACCAAAGATATTTCTGATAAGGGTTCTTTTTTAAAAACTTTCTGATCTGGCGAGCCAGTGATGTGGTGGTTAAGGAGACAGAATCCCACATGACTGACTGCCTGGTTCGAGTCTCGGACCTGATGGCTTGAGAAACACGCTGGGTGCATGTGCGAGTGGACCCAAAATCCTGAAAGGAGGAGAACTGGAAGAGAAAGGGTATGGCATCACTATCCCCTGGGGCCTTGCTCTCTTACTCTGCTCTTCTGCACTTTCGGGTGAGTGTAAGTGTCCCCTGGCAAAATTAAAAAAACGAAAACCTGAAAAACTTTCTGATCATGCTAGAACCCATGAAGAAAACATTCCAAATTGCAATTTGCTTGGTCACATAAACCAAAGGAGATACATTTAGCCAGGAAATCACACCAAGTGAATCTATGAGCCACTCCCATCGCCCGTACAGACACACTAAAATGTCCGAATGCAGACACAACAAACCAGCCCTTTATTCAGGTGTAGCAAATGTCGATTACTCCATCCCCACCCCTACTACAGAATAAGTCTTGTTAATTATGGTGCAATGAGAAGTGGATAGAAAATCACCTATAATTCTAAGCGATCTCCATTAGCCTAAAATGAAACATGAAAAATGGAAGGGTGATGACTGCTGGTTACAAACGGAAGGAAAGGGGAGTGGGAATCAGGGAGCTCTCAGAACTTCTGCTAACAGCATCTGATTTTACTTTGTGTGGCACCCCTCCCCCATTGAGTGCAGTCCTGCCGGGGGCTGCCTGCTCAGGTGCTCCTCCTTTGCATGGCTGCGTGGGAAGCACTGAACCAAGCTAGGCCAACCAGGGGCCTGAGCCCTGGGGACTACGTGGGGCATGAAAACTGCTGGAATTCTTTTCCTCTTGATATTGCAAAGAGATGGTCCATTAGTTTTTCTTCCTGGACCCTCACAGCTGCTGTAGTTGCTGTCCTTTCAGAGAACGTGTCTTCATTGTTCATGCGAGTCTCTGAGCCATGCCATTACTGTTCCATCAACTCCTGCTTACCTCTGTGTGTCAGAGTTGGTTTCTGTTGATTGCTCCCAAAGAACCCTGACTGATGTAATGGAACCACATTACTCAGAAATCTAAAACTACGACTGCTTCTCTAATCTCTGTAATTTATCATGGAAAATAATCATTTTTAGGACTGCGGAGACTTTCTTTGAAGATGAGCAACAATTAACATTTACAGATATTAACCATGTTCCGGACACTCTTCTACATACTCATACATATTGTCTCATTTCACGTGTGGGGTGATACCACTCAATAGGTGTTACCGAGTCCATTTTGCAGATGGAAAAACTGAGTCACAGAGCAATGGAATCACTTGCCCATTTTCACATGGCCAGATGAACATTTCTTGAAGTCACTCAATAGAATATTTGCTTTTAAGGATTGTGTTAGTTTGCTACTCTAATATTAGGGCAAGGCTATCCTCTCTGTGACGGCTCTCGGGGAATCCTTGCTTGCCTCTTCCAGCTTTTTTTTTTTAAAGTTTGTTTTTAAGAAAGATTTGTTGCAAAGCATTAATGACACAAAGAGATGTGGTATTATCAGTTGAAGATATTTTGTATTTTTTTTTTAAGAGGCTTTTGCTATAGGGCATGTGCGCTCGCCAGAGAGGCAGAGAGAGACAGAGAGACAGAAAGTGAGAAATCAACCCCCCCCCAGGGGGGATGGCTACGCCGCAATCCTTTCTTCTCCATTCTCCTCTCCGGATCTTGAGCATGCACGCACACGTGCCCGGCGTGAGTTTTAAGCCACCGGGTCCAGGACACGAACCGTGGTTGACTACGTGGGAGTCCAGTGACACAGCCATTACACTAACTGCTGGTCCCGATATTTTGTAGTTTTATCAACAGTACTAGGGAGAAATGTTCACCTGTTGAAATATCCATTTTGTAAGACAAATAATAATGTGATTGAATGTAAGAAAATAAAATGAAAAAAAATTTAAATAAAAGGAAAAAAAGGAAACTTAAAATAAAAAAGAAAGATTTGTTGCTATAGGATATGTGTGCTCGCCAGAGAGACAGAGAGAAACAGAGAGACATAAAGTGAGACATCACCCCCTGTGGGGATGGCCACACCACAATCCCTTTACCTCCATTCTCCTCTTAGGATTTTGGATATACACACACGTGCCCAGCATGAGTTTTAAGCCACCGGGTCTGGGACTCGAACCGTGGTTGACTACGTGGGAGTAGCCATTACACCATTTGCGGGTCCCTCTTCCAGTTTTTGGTGATGCCAGTAATCACTGTGTCCCTTAGCATGTAGATACATCACCCTGTTCTCTGCCTGTCATCACGTGGATGTTTTCTCTCCATGTGTCTCTTTCATTTTCTTAGAAGGAAACTAGTCATATTGGACTGAGGACCCACCTGCTCCAGTATGACCTCACCTTAACTAGTTATATCAAAAAGGATCCAAATAAGGCTGCATTCTGAGGTACTGTGGGGTTAGGACTTCTGTTTTGGAAGAAACAATTCATTCTGTAATGATAATGTGAATAGAAACTGTTCATAAAGGGGACAGCAGGTGGCATAGCGGTTATGTCACTGGACTCCCACATGGCTGACTGTGGTTTGAGTCTCATACTCGGCGGCTTGAAACACTGGGCATGTGTATGTGATGCCCAGGATCCTGGGGAAAAGAATGGAGGAGGAGGGATTGAGGAGGAGGCGGGATTGAGATGTGGCCATCCTCCCTGGAGAGTGACTTCTCACTTTGTCTCTCACTGTCTCTGTCTCTCTCTAGTGAACACACATGCCCTAAGGTAAAAACCTCTACTAAAAAATAAAAAAAGAAAAGAAAAGGAATTGTTTGTAAAAAAAAGAATATTATGGTCAGATAAGTTTGAGAAACACCGCTATAAGATTCCTTGCTGTACTACTTTGTGAAGAGGTCTTTCGTTTGTTTTTCTATAAGAAGAGTCACCAAGCTGGGACTATAATGTACAGTCTCTCTCTCTCTCTTTCTTTCTATTGCCAGAGAATGTGCAATTGTGTGCAGGAGAGAGAGAGAGAAAGCACTTCCTAAGGGGCAGGGGGATCACACCACAATTGTTTTGCCTCCACTTCTCCTTCCCATGAGGATTTTGGGCATAGAGTGCACACGTACCCTGCGTGTTTTTCAAGCTGCCTGGGCCAGAATTTGAACTGTGGTGGGTCACGTGGGATCCAGTTCCCAAGCCCAGCGCTTCACCACTGTGCTACAGAGCAGGCCCGAGGCTGTGCAGTTTCTTAAGCATATTTGGGACTTCTTCTTACAGGCCTCCTGGGAGATGAGCATTCACTGTGGGCACTGTCCTCTTGTCCGATAGGAGGCAGCAGCATCTCCCTGCTCTTCTGATTTCACCTCTTACCTGCCATGTCACCTTGAGACAACTGCTCTTCTCCTCTGAGCCTGAGTTTCCTTATCTCCAACATAGGGACAGTAATGTGCTTTTCTCTGTGCGTTTCTCATGAGAGCTAAGTTAGATGAGGTTAAGATGGAAAACAGCCGATATAGGACCTGGCATAGAAACAGGCATTCACTTACCAGTAGGAACTTCTGTTATGCCAACCAGACAATTCTTAATTTCTTGGCATATTTATTGAACATTTCTAGGATATCGATAATTCTTAAGCAGGACAATTTCCACAAAGAAGGTTTTCTTGTCCATCTTCCGCTTATTGTCCCCTTTCTCTTTAGGAGAATTGTCTTCTTTACGGTAATAGAACCTTACCTTGGGGGTAGATATTCAACCCAAGACTCCAACATTAGCAAAGAGTGGGTTGTTCAGCTCTGCAGTTCCTTATTCTGATCTTCCACCCCAGAGAGGGGAAGAGGATGTGATCATGCGATCGCCAGCACAGGGGAAATTGTGAAAGCGACCTCACTATAGAAAAGGCAGCCCACAACCGCCTGGGCTCTCAAAGGAGGTTGAGCTTCGGTGTGAACTTGTGGGAGTGGACCTGCCTGGCTGTTCATCTGACATGGAGCCGAAGCGGATCAGGGAGGGCTACCTCGTGAAGAGGGTAAGTAGAAGTGACGCTGACAATGGTGTAACTGGAGGCAGTCTTGGGGCTCTACCCTTTCACTGTAGCGAGGGGACGGTTTGTGCTGGAGCTGTTGGGCTGAAATAAAAGAGCACCACGGCGTGTACCATAGAACGCTGTGGGATGTGATGGAGGGGGCTGGGAAGCCAGAGCGTGATTCACGGCCTTCCGTTTCTTAAGGTGAATGGATCCAGCTCAGGCTTCAGCAGTTTGATTTTATGGGTCTGAGAATTTAAGACTTCAGGAGCTGGAAGGCAAGGGACTAAGCTACCTGCCTCGTGATTTAGATCACCCTTTTCAAGAGCCACACAAACTGTTGCTAGAGAGCTCACTCAGAACAAACTGCTCATTTGTTTTTTTACATTTCCCTTCCTCTTTCTTTCTTTCTTTCTTTCTTTCTTTCTTTCTTTCTTTCTTTCTTTCTTTCTTTCTTTCTTTCTTTCTTTCTTTTTTGGTGTTTGTTTGGAGAGGGGTAAAGAAGAAAGCAATGAAAGATGAGATGAAATAATGATGCAGTAATTATAGTAATAGCTTATTTCTTGGACTACCTTGTTCTAATTAAAAAAAAAAACTTATCTTTTTTTAAAAATTGGACTGAAGTTTCTTCACTTACAGGTCTTAGTGAACTTGGTGAATTTATATAGCATGCCATCCAAATGGTAGGTGCACCATTTTAAAGATTAGCAAATAAAAACTTAGGTTTGTTTAAAAATGTGTAGTCTCACTGGTGTGGCATCAGGAACATTGCACCCAGTTAGCACTTTTGTTTTTTTCTCCTGATGCTGTGTGCTGAGCTGTTGTGAAACTTCCCAGGGTGGTGAATTCACATGCAGTGGCAGTTGGTTAGTATCCTGTGAGCAACACCTATACACACAAGTACACTCACATGAACCCTAGTGGGCTCAGCGTTGCAGAAGTGAACTGAATTTAGCACAGTCCCTTGGTTGCCTAGTTTTTTACTTAAATGATTACCTAACATGACTGTTTTAGTCCACTTATTTGTTTCTCATAGTCTACTAATAGTCTACTTTTAAGAGACATTAATAGCACACATTGCTGCCTGATTTCATCTGATTTCAGCCTGGGAGGGAACTTAGACCATCTGGCCTAATGTTCTTATTTGCAGAAGAAGAGACTGAGACCTGGAAGTTTCAGTGATTGACCAAGATCACATGGCTGTGGTTGAATTGGGACCCAGAAGTTCATTCTCTGATCCTGGGTCTCTGACTCATGGCATTGAGCTCTGTCCAGTACCTTAGGATTTTATCAAAGCAAATTAATCCAAGTTAGGGTTTGTAGAGTATTTGTGGTGATGAGAGTTATGAGTGGGTGCTATAGAGTAAGTGGACCCTCAACTGATATTCTCTCTAGTTGGCTTTACTTTGAAACAAGCTTTGGAAAAGACACATACACACAGAGGTGTATTGCAGATTCCTTGTACTAGGCACCAGTATGCTCTCTGAGAACCAATAATAATTAATGTTGGCATTTCTTTCCTGATCACTTGAACTAGTGTCCTGAGAAGAGTAAATAAATAGAAACATTTTCTGCAAGTATTTTTTTAAACAACTAAAAATATTCTGCAGTGAAGAGCATTTTAAAGTTCATATACTTATGTGCTAAACTCCATAAACTGTAAAACTATAGAAGACAAAATATAATAAGTGATGCTGTCTTATTAGAAAATGGGGATGGTAGAGTCTGAGTTGTCAAGTATATGGACTTAATTTAATAAATAGCTAATGATCCATGACAGTGATTCCCACAAATTATGGCCTGTGAAAGCCAATCTAGCAAATGTACCTAGATGAAAACGTAGTGAAATTTCATACCGACATTTTCGCAATTTATATCTTCAGTAACTTTCATGTTTACAATTTACATCTTCAATGTCTTTTACATTTATCTCTGGGCACTTTTGAGCACTCCCTGTTGTAATGTGCTAAGATTCTCTAATTAGGCATTTTACAGAAGTGGTTCAGAAACATATTCCTTGTCAGCTGTGGAAACAAACGCAAAGCCAGAATTTTCAAATAAGGTATTAAAATTCTTAACTTCTTTAGACACGATGTTCCTTTCAGTTACCTCATGGATGGCTTAAAAACCATATGTGTCAAGAACCTGGCACACAGTAGGCACTTCGTACGTGACAATCATATCATCTTCAGTTTCAATAAACACTTCAGTGTAGTGGGTCTTCCAGATGCTATTGGGAGTATCTATCAGTTCCTGGCTGGGTTGCCAAGTTAATTGTGAAAAAAAAAAAAAGGCTGTGAAAATCTTTCTCTGACAAGACTGTTATGAGCTTTGACTATGGGAGCCAGCAGGTGGTGTGGTGATTGAGGCACTGGACTCCCACATGGTCGACCATGGTTCAAGTCTTGGACCCGTTAGACTGAAAATCATGCAGGTCATATGTGCATGCATGCCCAAAATCCTGAGAGGAGACTAGAGGAGAAGGGATTGTGGTTTGGTCACTCCCCCTAGGGAATGAGTTCTCCCTTTCCCTTTTTCTGTCTTTCTCTGGCGAGCCCACACATCCTATGACAAAAAAAAAAAAAAAAAAAAAAAAGTCTCGAATGTGGTTATTGACATAGAAACATAACAGGTGATAATATACAAATCTCTCCCATTCACCTCTTTCTTTTATGGAGTTCAAGATACCTAGGTGGTAACAAAGAACATCGTCCTGTCTTGTTTCAGGAAATAATTTTATTGAAGATAAGATGCTTTGGGTGGAAAAACTGGAATATGAGAAAACACTGTTGAAGGACTTATTTCAAATCAGAAGTCTTGGGGTCAGCAGTCAGTGGTGCTAACTGTAAAATGTTTCTGCTTTTCTTTTGTGTGAAATAGTTGCCCGTATTTCACATTCAGATTTCCTCTTTTGTCTCCTGACTAAGCTCTTTAAGTAAAGATGATAGGTAAGAGAGGGGAAGGAAAACATGATTCTGTCATTTTCCAATCTTTTCATTCTACGTAATACCCAGACCTAGAATATTGTTACCTTTTATTTATTTATTTTTTTCCAGAGAGATTTTTGCTATAGGGCACATGTGCTTGCTGGAGACACAGAGAGAGACAGAGAAAGAAAGCAGGAAAGCACCCCCAGGGGGACTGATCATGCTGTAATTCCTTCTCCTCTATTCTCCTCTTGGGGGTTTGGGCATGCACGCACATGCATCTGGTGTGAGTTTTAAGCCACCGGGTCCCGGACTTGAACCTCAGTTGACTACATGGGAGTCCAACAATGTAACCATTACACCATCTCCTGATCCTCTGTAATTACTTTTTACTTAAAAAGTCATTTGGAGCCAACCATGTGGCAGCTCGCTGCTGTACAAACATGGCCTTGTTTATTTTAACCACCCTATACGACACTCATTTTACAGATGAGAAAACCGACGCTCAAAAGTGATATGTGACTTGCCCACGGCCAAACAGCTGATAAGAGAACAAACTGGGATTCAAACCCAGGCTTGCCTAATAGCAAAGCCTACATCTCACCGATCCCAGGCAACATTCTGAAAGGCAGGCTCACCCATTCACAAGGTGGTCAGTGACTCACTAGAGCCAGAAGAACAGGTCCTGCACACAGTACAGCAACCTCAGCCTTCCTTCTTCTCTGATAAAGGGATCACCTTCTGGGCAATAAGTGTATTTTGGAAGTCCTTGAATATATACTATTCTACTGGATGTGTTCATAATCATAGCTTTAAAAAGAGAAGAGGACCGACTTGGAGATGCAGTGGTAATGCACTGCCCAAGAGAAGCCAGCTCCCATGTGATGACCATGGTTCGAATCCTCGGCTTAGCCAGGTTCGAATACCTCTGACATACACTGAGTGTCCAGGGTGCAAAGGGCTGGAGGACAGGAGGAGGAGGGAGGGGATTGTGGCATGTCTAGAACCTGCGAAGGGTGCTCATCTCTCTCACTCTCTCTAATTCCTGTGTGAGCATGCATGCACTCTATCATGAAGAAAGAAAAAAAGCTAAAAAGAAAAGACAGAGAGAAGGGCAAATTACACACATTAGAAAACCTAGACTCCTCTAAGTCATGTTCCAAACCAACCTCATTCCAAGAGCCTTCTGATACAAACTCGTTTCCATGACAACCAACCCAGCAAGCACTTGCAAAGCAGGACTGTCTAAAAGAGTGGCTAAGGATTTGCATTCTGTGAGGCAGGGAGAATGTGTGAGAATCAGGTGGTGGGAAGAGAAGGACAAGGACTGGGGTAGGGTAGAAAAGGGCTACCAAAAACCATTGGTCAAAGGTGAAAAGCTTGGGGAAAAAGAAAGCAGGAGAGTCAGGTGTTCCAGCCCAGGAGTTCTGCCCACAGCTACCTTGTCTCCTGGACAGAATGAAATAATCTCCAGGGATTTGCACCCATTATCATAACAACTACCACGTAGGATGCCGTTTACCTTGCTGCAGGGAGAGGTCTAAGTGTTTCATGCATTATTGTGTTTATGGAACATGCTGATTACAGCCCTACAAAATGGGCACAAGTATCCTTACTTTAGGAAACTGAGGGCCTCGCTCAACGTCACACAGATAAGTTGCAGAGCTGGTTTGCAGGACAGCAGTGTGGTCTCGGCGTCAACCAGAACTGCACCTTAAACTACTTTTTCCTTGGCCCTCATGGGCTCCTACTGCAGTAACTTTTCTAAAGCACTGTGGCTGTACTGGGTGGTTCCCAGGGCAATCTTAGGTCAGAATGACCCCACAGTGTTGCCTGTCTGTATGGTTACCATGTTTTGCCAAACTAGTGCCCTTTAAGCCCTGATCTCATATAATCTTCACACTGGGAAGTAGGTACTTTGCTATCTTCATTTTATTTGTAATAAAGTTCACTTGCTTAAGATCACAGAGCCTCAAAGAAGCATTGAGGAAATTTGAACCCAAGCGAAGACTCTCAAATTTCATGCTCTAAAGCACGTTGTGTCATTTCTGTGTTGCTTAATGTGTTTTCATTGAG